GAGCTCAGGAACTCAAAAAGGCCTGGACGTCCATGGAAAACAACAGTGGTGGATGATCGCAGGATCCTTTCTATGGTGAAGAAAAACCTCTTCACAACATCCACCCAAGTGAAGAACACTCTCCAGGAAGTAGGTGTATCAGTATCTAAGTCTACCATAAAGAGAAGACTTCATGTGAGCAAATACAGAGGGTTCACCACAAGGTGCAAACCATTAATCAGCCTCAAAAATAGAAAGGCCAGATTAGACTTTGCTAAAAAACATCTAAATGAGCCAGCACAGTTCTGGAACAGCGTTCTTTGGACAGATGAAACTAAGATCAACCTGTACCAGAATGATGGGAAGAAGAAAGTATGGAGAAGGCTTGGAACGGCTCATGATCCAAAGCACACCACATCTTCTGTAAAACATGGTGGAGGCAGTGTGATGGCATGGACATGCATTGCGTCCAACGGCACTGGGTCACTAGTGTTTATTGATGATGTGACAGGAGACAGTAGCAGCCGGATGAATTCTGAAGTGTATAGAGATATTCTTTCTGCTCAGATTCAGCCAAAAGCAGCAAAGTTGATTGGACGGCGCTTCACAGTACAGATGGACAATGACCCAAAACATACTGCAAAAGCAAGCCAGGAGTTTTTTAAGGCAAAGAAGTGGAATAATCTGCAATAACCGAGTCAATCACCAGATCTCAACCAGATCGAGCATGCATTTCATTTGCTTAAGACAAAAGTTAAAGCAGAAATACCCACAAACAACTGAAGACAGCTGCAATAAAGGCCTCCTGGCACAGCATCACAAAAGAGGAAACCCAGCGTTTGGTGATATCCATTGGTTCCAGATTTCAGATTTCATTGCCTGCAAAGGATTCTCAACAAAGTATTAAAAGTGAAAATTTTATTTATGGTAATGTTAATTTGTCCAATTCTTTTTGAGCCCTTGAAATGAAGAGACTTTGTTGAAAAATGGTGGCAATTTCTAAATGTTTGATAGGATATTTTTGTTCAACCACTTGAATTAAACCTGAAAGTCTTCTGAAACACTTCTCAGTTGTTTCATTTCAAATCCAATGTGGTGGCATGCAGAGACCTAATCATGAAAATGGTGTCACTGTCCAAATATTTCTGGGCCTAACTGTATGTAGAGTATATGTATAAAATATGTATCTATATATGCAATTCATATATTTTTCTACAATTCTACAACAATCAGCTATCTTAAAGCCACTAACCCAAAGTGTCTTTATATATTTAGGAGCACTAGGACAAGCCAGAGGAACCTGATTTGTTTCACAGATTATCTGTCTCATGTACTACTGTTAGTATATAGTGAAAATTTCAGCAAATATGACAAAAACTTTTAAGAATGTGAATCTTGATTTCTTATCAGAAGTCTGAGGAAGAGCAAACGTCACTTGCAAAATACTTGGTGTGCAGATCTGCTACTGTACTTTTTCTATCATAAAATCTGTGAAATATTTTCAAAGCAGTGCAAAACTTACTGTAGATATGTCTGGCATTTCACATTTCACAACAAAACAATGATATTACATTCACCATCATTATTTTATCATTTAAAATGAAACTTGAAAGCAAAATAACTTCTAAATTGTTTCTTTAATTAGAGCACATCCTCTGGTCAATTGGTGTATTTTTTTGTAATTACATCATCAAAACAGATCATTTATTTTGTCCGAGATATAACTTTTTTTTTACTTTGATAATAACATGCCCATCAGGCCAATTATTGTTCATTCTGCAGCTCAGTGCAAAGATATACTCTTCATCGTGCCTTCAGTTTCTGCTGAACACAGTCAGTTAGTATTGCATTAAATGAATGGACACACCAATCAGTAGTACACACCCACTCCAGTTTACACATGGAGGTCAATTACCACTCAAACTGCTCCACACTGATAAATAATCTCCATCCAGACCCCGATGTTGTAATTGAGAGGCTCTGATGCAAATTGCCTGCACGTAATGACGCTCTCACTCCTACTCCAAATTTATGACCAACAACTGCCACAAATTTTTTAATTATTTTTTTATTATGTTCTTCCATAAATTCACTCATTTCCCATGGGTCTTCTGCTAAGTGGCCATGATGCACTGAAATTATAAGCCTATTACAGTCCTCTGGTGGTGAATGTCCAACGAGGCTGCCTGATCACGCTCAAGGTCAACAGTATCGCTGACAGCAGAAGTGGAGCACCCAGAGCACCCAGAGGAGGCATTAAAACCCAACAGGGGAGCCAGTAAGAGAATGGGACTGGATGGATGCTGGGTGCGGGGCTAAGGATGAAGAGGGGGGGTAGATAGAGTGCCTCTGTGCTGGCCTGATTATGCTCTCAACAGAATGAGCTCACATAACAAAGGATTTATTATCACTAGCTGGAGAGTTGCTGCAGTCTGGGAACTCCACACAGCCGTTTTCTCTGCCAGGCGCCCGAAAAATGTGGCCCAACCTCTGCTTCGGTCGGGAGGTTCAAACAACAACAAACCCTGTATGGGTCTCTCTCCCTCCATCGGCCCATAAAGCGGCCAGTGTTTCAGGGGCGGGAAGAGAGACCAGTGTGGCAGCGAGAGAACGCTGCCTCTCACAGGCCCTGCCCTTTTCCTCTGCATCTCTAACTTCTTTCCTCAGGTACAGAAACACTGTCTGTCTGTGCTCCAGGGTTACTCCAGGTTAGGGAGAAAGGTCCTGATTATCTTTAATGGGATTACACTAATAATACTGTATAACGGCAAGGAATTTCCTTCTGATTGTGGGCTGCTTTTCACAAAATGTAAGATTTTAATTTAGATCATTTACAGCCAGACTAACGTTTAAACCACACCTTTACGCTATTTAACACACTTAGTCTGGTAAGGCCAGAAGCTAATGGTGGCTAATGTTAGCAAACATGAGACATTATTACATAGTTTAAGTTACATACTTTTGCTAATACAACCTAGAACCGGGTGAAATGTGTCTTGACTAATAAATTATGGCTGCGTGTGGGTACAAATATCATGTTACATCTCTGAGAATAACAAGTGCTGCAAAAGAAGGTCCCATTAAAGGCAGAGAAATCCAAAACGATGTGTAATTTAATATACTGTCATTCTAAGTAGATTATGTGTATTGTGTGGATTTTTCTGCTCACCATAAAATTAAAATATATTATCGTAAATTTGATATGACAAACATGTTAGCAAATAGTTTTCTATTAAAATGTCCAGCAGACACAGAGCAACATTAGCATTAACTTGAAATAGTGTCTCCATCTATCGGATAAATGTCATTTCAATGTTTACTCTTCTTCTAATTTTCTAGTTTTCATCTCCAACAACTCCTGAGAGAAATGTCCAGTTCTTTAGTGGCTTAACACCATTATGTTTACCAGCAAGCCGCTAACTGTGTCTGCTGTTTTATGCTGAGCAGGTAATGTCCAGTGGGTTTATTACAAGCGCAAACCTCCAACACGGATGTGTGAAAAACTGCAGTTCAATGAATGGCCACTTGAGGCTGGCTCCAACAGTGAGTTGATCTCCATAAGGCCAACTTCACAGCAGAAATAAACATGTTTACAGCCTGGTTCAAATAACAGCTTTGGTCTTTCTCCCTCTATGACAACTGTACAGGGGGTGAAATTTTATTAAGGCTTAAAGTTATGCATAATTAAGGCGGTGGCTGCTTTGAGTGACAGGTGGGTGCTGTCACGACATTCAGCCCGCCTCAGCTCCACCAGCACTACACGTATTTGCCCATTTTTGGATTTGCTTGGAGCAGGCGAAGTCAGGGATGCCATTATGGCGACGCCCAGAGCCGACCACACTGAGCTTCACAACGACTCTTCAGAAACCTGCGGGTGACGTCACAGAGACTACATCCATGTTTGATACAGTCTATGGGTTTTCAGAGCTTTATCACTGAAAACAGCTAAAAGAAGCTAAAACGCTGCAGCTCAGGTGCACTGCAGAGTTGGTGACACCTTTCACATCACAGCTTTAAAACGAGCTCAGTATGTGATCCAACATGCTGTCTCAGACTTTACAGTGAGCAGACTCCAGCTGACAAGCTCAGTCCAGACTGGTTGTGTCTGAGCTGCTGATAAGCCAAGGACAAACTCAACTTGCAGAGACAGAAACATCCACAAGATCCCACACAGGACAAAGACAGTGAACATTCATACTGTTGAATAATCTTTCAAGAAGTAGATCATAAATCAGGCTTGACACCGAGGTTTGTTTGCTGGCTGCATTCTTTTGTTATCTTAGTAAAAACACAAAACACATGTCCCAACCATGGAAACATGCCAGTCAAAACTACTAACACCATGCCAATGAAGAATATAATTAGTTCATTTATTTAGTCACCGCTCATAGATATCACATACCATATCACACAGTGTAAGAACCACTGGAAAATGTAACTAAATGTCACTCTAAGGTGGACAAAAAACACACTAAAAGCCATTATGTAAAGAATCTATACGAAACAAGGTATTGCAGTACATTATTAGGCAATAAACTGTAAGTACATCATAACTTCAGAACTAATGAATCATCAGTTAAGATATTGTTCAGAAACATATCACATCCTGTTCCAGTTTAACTAACTTATTTGGAGATTTTGTGGCATTTTGTTTAGTTATCATGTTGATTGAGCTCCTTTGTGACATTATCAGCAGCTTGTGTACTGTGAGAAATGAATATAATTACAGCGTGATAAAATAAATATAATTTGCAAATCATGACATAAAAGGCTAAAGTCTGTCACTGCTTTTAAATCAGAGTGCACTTCAAGTGGTAACCACAAAAAAGAGAAAGAGAGAGAAGAAGCTTTATGATCAAAGCTGACAACTGTCTGATGACACCTGCAAATGCTTCCACACACACACACACACACACACACACACACACACACACACACAACCTGAGCGTCTTGAAAACAATCTGCCAGTGTGAAAACAGCAACTGGCCTGTAATCATAAATGCGTGAAGCTTCTACTTTACCTGACGGAGTGGTGGTGGGTGTGAGTGTGTGTGTTGGGTGGGACGCTCCAGTTAACACCACAGGACTGAAAACACACACTGCTGCTGCTCATAAAGACGGGATGGGAGCGTAAACTGCTGCTGCTGCTGCTGCTGGTGTCACAAAGAAAGAGACAAAACTCTGACTGGGATCCAAAGAGGAAGCTCCTTCCTTTGTGTCCTCTCTCTCTCTTCTGTCGTCAGGGTCTCTCACTCACTGCCTCTCCTCTACACGCACACAGACCGTCTCTCGCTGTCATAACACACACTGGGCTAAAGCCATGTGGCTGCTGACACACACTGTCTGGGTGCTGCTGGTCCCCTCCCTCTCACTCTCTCTTGACTCACTTGCTCACTCTCTCGCTCTCTCTCTCTCTCCTTTGGCATGACTCTCACACACACTCACACACACACACACACACACACACACACACACTCGTTGAACACATGTACCCTCTCTCTCCCCAGCTTTCCTGCCCAGTCAGCCTCGCCCCAACACGCAGACACAAGGCGCTCATTCTTCTGGATAAAGAAATGCCGTGTTGTTCAGGAGAACCTGCAGAGATGTTCACCTTAAACGGGGCTCGTAGGTAAACAGGGTGGTGAAACAGAGTGGAGTACAGTGAGGGAGAACAGCCGTTTATTCTCTCACACACACACACTGGAGCTACTGTGAACTGCTCTGAGCCTCATTTTCCCACATGTTCACCACCACCAGATCTATTCTAGTCTGTTCTATTCTCTTTTCTTAACTTATTCCTTGTTTGGTTTTTTCTCACATCCTCTTTTACATCAACAATGTTTTAACATGAGTTGACAGTTTCCTTTTACAAGGAGTTACAGTATTTATATGGTCTTATATAGCTGAACACTTCAACATTGGACTTATATACAAATAGCTCAAAATGCCTGAATTCACGGCTGCATGATGCATGTTGAGATATTTTCAATGCTTTTTGCAATTTGCGATTTTTAGTATAATTCATTAAAAATCAAAGGCCACTTGTTCCAATGAGAATAAAACCACTAGTAGTTTGGTGACATATGGCTCAACGTTTTGCATGGGGACTGCTATGACCTGTGAAATGTGCGGAAAAGTTGCAGTGATTGGATAAAACTGCAAGGTCACGCAGAATTCACGCCGATTGGTTGAATTTGCGCTAATTTGCTACCATACTGGCCCCACAGACAGAAGAGAGCTGACGATAAATGAGAGGAGAGAGAGGGGAGATGACACACAACAAAGGTCACTGGCCGGACTCAAACAGGGAAGTTGCAATTATATTAAACCCCTAGGCCACCAGGAGGCCCCTCTACATGGTGTTTATAGGGATAAATATAGCAGTGAACTATATGATAGTGAAATATTAATAGGAATCCATAGGAATCTCCAGTGAAGTCTCAGGAGTACACTCAGCACGTGCAATGTCCACTTAGTAGTTTTAGGAGTGACTCGTCTCTCTGTCTTCATTCAGAAAATGGAGATCAGTTGTCATCGCGGTACATAAATGTGAGACTTCCATCACGGGTTTATTAAAGTTAACTGAAACTAAAACAAAACATTTTCAAATGTGCAAACCCCTTTCTGGAGACTAAGTGAAATTACACTGAACTGAGAAAAACTCAACTAAAATTTCTAAACTTTAACTAAAATTAAAAGCTAAATAAAATAGAAAACTAATGAAAAACACTAAACTATAATAACTCTGATTCCAACTGAGCTAACTGCATCTGCTGATCAACAAAAAGCTAGTTAGGTTATTTTGAACCACTGCTATTACCAAGGTCAAGAATAAACTTTCATGCACTTTTACACAGTGTCCAAAGAAAACCTTGTCTCGCCAGGTTTGGTTACAAATAACCGATTTTAAAATCCACCGGAGCCACAAAGGTGGCACTATTTTCCCAGTTTATGACAAGTTACGTTTTGGACATACACAGTTTTCACAGCGACAACAGATGGGTGACAAATTAAGAGAAAAATCAACCTAATGTGCCTTAGTAAGATGTAGTCCACCACAAACAGCTTCACTGCTGTCTCTGAACTCCACTGGAGGGACGAACAGCTTTCTTCCAAAGGACTGGGTGTTTTAGAGCGCGGCCTAACACCTCACTGTAAAATCTCTAAAAAATGGTTGAAACGGATTACATTGAAAAATGTTCAAACACAAACTATATTTTTTAAGTATATATATTTAATATTTTTTTTTTAAATAAAATATTCTTGATCAAGCAGCTGTAATTTTAAGTGAGTTTTGTAGGTTACAGAAACATTCTGTGAGAGTACATTTTAAGGTATTGTGTTTTCACAGTACAAATGAAAATTACAAAATTAAGTCAGTGCAGTCAACTTTTTTAGTTAAATGAACTCACCTGTTTTTACAGTGTAGGTGTTGGTTCAGTTGCGTTGAGATTTGCTGACTGTGAAGGCCATTGCATATGGTTGACATCATTTCCAGATTCATCAAATAATTAAATGACCCCTGGTGAGGGGTAAGACTGGGGAGGGCTCACAAGAGACTAGGTAATGCCGGATGTTGCATATCCCTGTACAGCTATGGTCGAAGCAATGAAGTCGTGACTTGGCAAACTGACAGCATGTTATATAAAAAGAAATAAAGATCAGTTCTGGTTCCCACATGTTGTTGAGAACATTTACAGATTTTAGTGCATGGAGGTCTGAAGACACACTGCAGCTCTCAGGATGTTGTTCTACTTGGTCCATGACAGTGACCACCATGTTGGCTCTATGCCGGAGAGAATCAACATAAATAGAATACAAATGTCCAGACAGAGTCACAAACAATGCTGAGGTCACACAAATATGAACATGCACACCCACACAGCGTACCAGAGCAAACGCTGGTGTCTGAGCCATGTTTGTGGTGAGTTACGCAGAAGTACATATTTATATACATCCTGTAATACTGTAAGATCCAAACAGCTTAAAGAGTAACCTTGTGTTTCTACAGCACTGTGTGCAGAACCACTGCTGACATCAGCGTTGAATAGCTGGTGGTTCCTCTCTGACTGAACTGGATCTGGCCTCTCCACAACGTTATCACTAAGCCCAAATTCCAGCTGAAACCACTGAGTGTGTATTGTTCAGCACACGTCTGCATGTCCAGATCAGGAAAAGCTTCATTTTGAATTATATGACAAACTGCACATGCCAAACATTCCTGTAAGGCTGGGTGGGAATTATCACGATTTATACGAAGCGCGCTCATCTGTCAGCCTAAATCACACAGCTGGGCTGTTACAGAGAAAAACATCCCAACCACACTGAGTGAGACGCAACACGTTCGACCTGTTTATCTCAAATGAAATTCTGATGTTGGTTATGGCAGCTGGTGGGAAAGCTTATGTGCAGATGCTTCAAGTTGCACAGAATAGAAGTGCGGCAGTATATCAATGTGGGCTGATAGGAGTGTTAATCACTACTGAGATGTCTGGCTTTTAAAACTCCCCGTCTTGCTAGTTCTCAATTTTGGAAACAAGCTCTGCCTCCCACCATGAACACCTACCTACATTTTCAACTGCTCAGCAATGTTACAGCAGTGCATGAAGGCCCTAAAATGCCTCTTATTGCCCTAGCATTCCTTCTTTACTCGACATTTGTGTCGGCTGTAAATAGATAGATGCTTCTCAGCAGGGCTTGTCTTTCTGAACTAACCGGACAAAGCCATTTGATATATTCTCGATTCCCATCCCTACACACGCTAGATGCTAGCTTGTTGCTCGTCCGCTGTTTGGTGCGTAGCGTTGATTTATTTGAGCTATTTTGCTGAAAAAAGATGCCAGCTGGAAATAAGTTTGACGAAAACCAAAACAATAAGGACCTAAGAGTTCTATAAAACAAAATACTTGAGTTGTTGTTGAGTACCAGTGTTAAGTGTGCGCTGTTAGCCACGTTTGCGCAATTCGTTTGCTAGCCAGTAGTGTTCTTCTAGCCCTTGCATTAGCGCCACCAACTGTAGCACAATAGCATATAACCAGCAGAAATGTGTGTTCTGTCGTCTACAAACGAATACAAACAGAAAGGCCTCTCACCAAAGACTGAATAAATAATAATAGACAGTCTCTGTGACGTCACCCGCAGGTTTCTGAAGAGCCGTTGTGAAGCTCGGTGTGGTCGGATCTGGCCGTCGCCATCTTGGCAGTCCTGAATCCGCCAGCTAATCCAAAAATGGGCAAATATGTGGAGCATGGGTGAAACTAGGGCGGGCTGAATGAAGCCTGGTTACTGAAAACAGCTGCCTGTCAAAGCACCCACCTGTCACTCAAAGCAGCCATGTCCTTAATTATGAATAACTTTAGGCCTTAAAGGACCTGTGTGTAGGATTTATAGCATCTAGCGGTGTCAGTTAGTATCAGATTGCAACTAACTAAACACCACGTACCTGGGAATGAAGTTGCTGTGTAGAAGAATTTGCTATGGAATGTGAAAGGCCTTATCTACAGCCAGTGTTTGGTCCATTCTGGGCTACATTAGAAATACGGTGGTTCAGCATGGCGGACTCCAAAGAAGTCGACCCGGGTCAGGTGATTATGCACTAATGAAAACATACCTATCCTATTAAAGGACAGGTATTATCCTATTATCCTCCTAAATGTTACACACTGGACCTTTAATATAATTTATCGGGTGAGTTAAAAATTCATCCCCCCTACATTTGTCATGAACGGGGAAATTAGGTATAGAGACCAAAAGCGATTTTAATACCAGGCTGTAAACATGTTTATTCCTGCTGTAAAGTTGGCCATTTTAATATGGGGGCTTATGGAGATTGGTTGGCTTTTTGAGCCAGCCTCAAGTGGCTGTTCGAGGAACTGCAGTTCCATATTGCTTCATTTACCAGCCATGGAGGTGGCACACTTGGCACCCACTCATAAAAACATTGCTCCATAGCACTGCTAGTGGTCAAAAACTCTACAAGGTACTGTACGTATGACCAAATTGAAGCTAAAAAGCTCAGTAGGGTGATCATTTTGTGGCTTTCTCAGCACGAAGAGGTCATAACTCCAACAATATTGTCGGACTGTTCGACAATAAAGTGTTTCTGGAGTAGTGACCTCTTCTGACTTTTTCCCCTTCTCGGTGCACCTTAGAAGTAGATAACACTTTTCACATTACACATTTACATAACATTACACACATTTGATCTGTTGGTAATATAAACAACATTTATAACTGGAGCTTTAAATCACTGCAGACTGGCATGACTGGTGAACAGTGTACAGACCTTACATCACAGGAGTTATACTTAAGAAAGCTTTGTATCAAAAACGTAACACAATTC